CTTGTCTTCCTTGTTCTATGATCCTTTGCCTGTTCAAATCCATCTTGTACCGACCGTCGGCAAAAATAAACTGCTCATCGAAATTGATGTACATTTCTTCAACAATTTTCCTCCAAGGATGATATTATATTGAATTGGAGTTTTGCCTACATAGTCAGTCTCTTGTTCTCCTACTGATCAATTGTCGCAATGCACTAAAACAGATGCTACCGTTACCCAACTATTATATGGAACATTCTTCGCCTGATTGATGATTCAGTCTTCGTCCAGAGTGACAAAGCTGATTTTCATCGACTGAAATTATTTGAGTCTTTAAATATTGAACTATTGTTGAAAGTAGATGCCACATATGAAGATAGTTGAATTAGCTAGGTAGCTCGCTTAGCCAGTTTTCTTTCTTTTTTCAATGAAGACAGGTTTGCTCAGGAACCATGAATTATTCCAAATGAATTTTCAACAAAGCCTTAGTGAAAATCAATGCTTTCTCAAAAATATTGGAAAAACTAGTCACTGAATGCTAGGAACTAAGCACTAGCGTTATGATTATAGTATCGTGCTTGTAACCACATATACAGCTGTTTTTAAAAAAATTGCACTGATAAATGTCACTTTTGCTACCACAGGATTCATTCAATTCTTCAAGTTTTAGTATGATTTCCACTGAATACTGTGCGTTAGTATATTTTAAAAACAAAAATTCACACATTTTCAGTAAAACAATGAAGAATAAAAGTTCTAGACATGACAAAAAAAATGACACTTTTTTTAGGTATAATTAATCGGCTTTTCTACATCACTTTTAAATGAAATTTATTGTTGAAAGCTAGTTCATTTGGTGGTGTTCGATATAAACACTACTTTAAGCAATTATTCATAATATTTTGCTGGCATTGAAGAATAGTAAATTTTTTATCAGATGCACTTTGTTTTTTAAAAGTGTTCTCTAATTATTTCTATAATTGGTATGAAGCATTTCCCCTAATGTCACACGGCAACATATTTTATTTTCTGAAGTCGCTAATAAAAGACTATCGCATAAATTTATTAAAGTAATGTCATGTTTTTGGTAACTTTCGACTGTGCTGTTCATATCCTTCATTCTTCTTGGAAAGATGGATGAGAAAATACTATTAGCTTTTACTTCCTACTTTAAATATAGAAAGCAATATAGAATAAAAATTCAGCTTTTTTTCCTTATATGACAACAGTTTTAAACGACATTCACATCTGGTGAAATACTAGCAGATAATGTGCTTACACCTTGGAACATTAGTTAACTTAGTGGTATTAAAAAGTTTCAAAAAAGAATCTTTAAGTGACAGTAGTTCATACGAAAAAAGATGATAGAGTCCTTTTAATAACAACATTTTTACCCACATTTTACATAGAACAAGTTGCCAAGATAAATAGAACATTAATTATAAGTACAACTTCTTTGCCTTTGAGTGATAGTCGTGAGAAAGATACAGCGAAACAAATCGGTGTTTTGTTGTATCTTCAAACAGCCAAAGTGCGTATTGAAAGTTCAACAGTTAGTGTTTTGCTTCATTCTTACTGAATTGATACAAATAATCGTATTGTTCTCAATATCAGCATGAAAGGACGGGGGTGCATAAGAACAGGAATCGGCCCACGAACAGATTCTCATAAGAAGTTAATTTTCTGATTCAGAATTTTACGGCGAATCTTTTGATGCTAAATTCAATATATTTTCGAAACAATTTGATGGCCTCCGGCCTATACCAATTATATCCTATTTTTATCCAGTGCAAAGGGATTATGTTTCTCAAAACATAATTTGATAAAGCTTCAAATAGGCTCATCTGAAAGAGCATATAATTCTGGACAAAACCGTATACTAATCAACTAAAAATAATCAACACCAGTAAAAATTTCTTAGCAAATACTATGTTTTCACCCACATTTTTTGGGACGCCATCGACTTTCATGCAGCTCAGTCACTTACGAATTCATCCCACGAAGGAGTTTCTTCATGGTCAGATGCGGTTTTTGACGGGCTACACGATGGTGTGCTTTTTATCTTGAAATTTCATTGGCCAAAAAATTTCATACGGACAATACCGCTGGAAAGAGTGATTTTTTCATATGTATCGTTCCTTTTGGGTTCCAAAGTGCTTAAAAAATGTCTTTACGATGGACTTTCGTCCCCATGAATTGATACAGTTTTCGACGGGCTACACGATGGTATACATTTCATCTCGAAATTTCATTGGCCAAAAAACTTTACAAGGACAATACTTCCTAAAACAGTGATTGTTTCAAGTCCATGATATCTTTACGCTTCCAAAGTGCTTAAGAAATGTCTTTACGATGGACTTTCATGTTCAGGGTTAGATGTAGTTTTTCACGGGCTACAATTTGGCATAGTTTTCATATCGAGATTTCATTAGCGACATTTTTTCTAGGGTCAATACCGCCCGAACTTGCGGTTTTTGCGATTTCAGACTTGAAAGCCACTTCTAAAGTGCTCCACAAAGCACTTTACGTTGGATATTCGAATTAAGAGTTCTTTGCGATTTTTCGGGGCTTCAACGCTGGCATAGTTTTTGTTTCCGCATTTTATTGGGAATATTTTGCAAAAGGAAGTACTGTCGAGTATTTTAATTATATGCATTCTCATTCGCCACAGAAAGTTGATGTTTATTGTATGGAGGTAAAGATTAATTATAGGATTTTGTGGAAATCATTCGAAGTTGGTTGATTGGTTGATGTGGAATTGATAAGAACTTGGTCAAGGATTGCAACTCTTGCAAATTTGGTAGTCCATGGCGTAGCACATAAACCTGAGCAAGTCTGAATCACATATCCCGAGTTCAAAGAACTACATGATTTACATGCAATTTGATAATATGAATGCAGTATCTCTATCCTGGATGGATGCAATCAATCCCAAATAGGTTTTGGATTTCCGGCAAATCTTTGAGGTTTGGTTTTGCTCTTGGATTTCGTCTCGATCGGGGACTCCGAATTGTGAGCATCGTTTGGAGTTAGCAGGTAGGATTCAGCTGTTGTTCGGAATTTGGACTTGACTTTAGAGTTGGGTTTGGAATGGGGTCTTAGACCGAAATGACTCCAACTTTGGACTTATGTTACAACGAAACAAAATCCTAACGTAACAGCCAAATCAAAAGCCCAGATCAACAACCGAATCTTAAATACCGCATCCAAATTCAAACTATTTCAAATCGAATTGGACGTCTTCGCATTGGTTTCTCGCTTCTGATATTTATCTTACACCGTGTCTTCAGATTTGGGTAATTGAAGATTACATCCACACCAAAATCAAAGTACCAATCCAAGGAAAAATAAAGTCCAAATTTTTCTACGTCAAATCGAAAAGTCTTGGTGTTGTTGTACCGCTTTCTTCCTCCTCACAGCACATATAATCCGAATGATAGGTAGTATTTGCTCTTGCCATGTTCTCGCCAATAAACTGTGGACAAATCTGCACGAGGATGTAACCGCACTGTAAGCGCATCGAGCACTTAACTGAAAATACCATCAAAAGTGGCTTCAGAGCCACTTTACACGCTGATCAGAAGCTCAAAATCGAAAAAAAACGACATTTCACACGGTATTCCCGTAGAAAACTTTTGGTCAATGAAATTTCGGTATGAAAAATGTACTAAATTGTAGCCCGTGAAAAACTACATCGAACCCTGAACATGAAAGTACATCATAAAGCCATTTCTTAAGCACTTTGGAAGCATAAAGATATCATGGACTTGAAATAATCACTGTTTTAGGAAGTATTGTCCTTGTGAAATTTTTTGGCCAATGAAATTTCGAGATGAAATGTATACCATCGTGTAGCCCGTCGAAAACTGTATCAATTCATGCGGACGAAAGTCCATGGTAAGGACATTTTTTANACAGTTCTGTACCTTGAAGTAAGGTGCAAAAGAATCTGTACGAGTGGAGGATTTATTTTGAGTCTTGATCTGTATAAAGTTCTGAATGTTAAGGTTTGGAGAGATAAAAAAAATTCATCCGTATACTATTATACACCTAGCATTTGTTGAAAATCTCCGGTAATGTTTTGTGTATTTTATCCGCAATCGATTTTGGAGGGCAAGAAACCTTAAGCGAGGTCAAGTCATCCTAAAAAATTTCCTATCAGTTTAAGTCAAGTCATAATTCATAAAAAGATATCTTCAAGTCAAAAATGACACGATTTGCCCTTCTCTGACTTATTTTACTTGTGTCAATATTATCGATGTGCATATGGAACAAGTTTAACAACTTTCGTGCAAGAACCAAGACGAAAAATATTTCAATCAAAATTAAATTTAAGCGAGCACATGAAACATCATACTGCTCGACAGTTAAAAGAAAACATAAAATGAAGCATAAAGGTCGGAGGTTTTTCCAGCGGTTTTTTTTTCTTTCACTGAAATAGCCACTAACAAAAATCAATCAACTAAAATTAAAGTTCAGTCAAATCTCTCCACCAGTCGATAAATTCTAATTTTGAGTCATTTGTATGTCTATGGCTAGATCAAAATGTCAATTGAACAGAAAATAATCTTTAAACTCAAAACTAACCATGTCAAGCGATCAATCACCTTCGAACATTTGATAATATTGATGCGTATGAACAATACATTCGACAAATTACAAAAGAAAAAGTTGTTCTCATTATATCTAATTCATTAGGTTGAGAAATTGTACCTCGACTTCATCATCGTCCACAATTTTCTGAATGTTGTCTTTTGTAAAGATCAAAGATCAAACCAACAGCAAGCTAATAGATATCATAAGGTTGACTATTTTATTATGATCCCATTATTATTTTCTTTTTGACTTAAAAATTTCAGATCCAGTGTGTTTTCTTTGGATAATTACTTCTGGTTCCCAATCTCTTCAAACTCGCAAGGTTATTTTTATGCAGTTTCAATTATTTATTGAAGATCTTCGTCGTATATATTATAAATTCAATGATCACAAAGAACTTTTGGATATTTGTAAGAATAGTTATAAGGATGATCACCAAGAAATGCAAACGACCGGGGCGCATAAGAGTATGAATCGGCCCGCGAACAGATTCTCATAAAAAGTTAATTTTCCGATGAAGAATTTTATGGCGAATCTTTTGATACCAAATTCAATATATTTTCGAAACCATTTGATGCCTTCCGGCCTATGCCAATTATATCCTTTTTTTTCCAGTGCAGGAGGAATTATGTTTGTCAAAACATAATTTGATAAAGCTTCACATAGGCTCATCTGAAAGAGCGTAGAATTCTGCACAAAACCGTATATGAACCAACTAAAAATAATCAACACCAGTAAAAATTTCTTAGCAAATACTATGTTTTCACCCACATTTTTGGGAGGCTTTTGACTTTCACACAGCTCAGTCACTTACGAATTCGTCCTACGATGACGTTTCTTGTTCTTGGTCAGATGCGGTTTTCCACGGGTTACACAATGGTATGGTTTTTATCTTAAAAATTCATTGGCCAAAAGATTTCACAAGGACAATACTTCCTAAACCAGCGATTATTTCAAGTCAATGATATCTTTATGCTGCCAAAGTGCTTGAGAAATGTCTTTACGATGAACTTTCGTGCTCAGGGTTAGATGTAGTTCTTCACGGGCTACAATTTGGTATAGTTTTCATATCGAGATTTTATTGGTGAAAATTTTTCTAGGGTCAATACCACCTGATCTTGCGGTGTTTTTGGATTTGAGACTTCAAAGCCACTTCTAAAGTGCTCCACAAACCACTTTACGGCGGACTTTTCGGTTAGG